TAGCAGAAATACAAATGCCAAAAAAATTTTTTTCCAATGTTTTGCATATTTTCTCTGATTTGAATTCAGCCGTAGGGCTGATGAATTGTCTTGAATCCAAACTTTTCCTCCCTTTTTCCAAAACAAGTCCTCCCTTTTTCCCTCTTGTTCTTGCTTGGAAGTCAAGCCAAACTCACAATTTTACTAGCTTTTGTTTTGAGACCTGATAAACTCCCTTGGTTTTCCCTGTGGTTTTCTGTTGGATTCCAGGCTGGATTCAGTTTGGGCTTCAGACCCAGTTCCAGTTGGCCTGGGGATTACAGATGCCTTCCCACCAGAACAAAAAACTGCTTTGTGAACTTGGCAGAGCTAAACCCGTCTTCACATTTGCAGTGGAGAGAGTAGGCCCCGTTTGTAACTAGTCCCTTGAAATAGGGAATTACAAATCTTAGCTTTAGTGTGAAAATAGAAGACAAATAATTTCATTGCATTATGGAGGGATTTTTTCCTTCCCTCTTCCTGTTTCCCGTATGATCCTACATAAATGGAATCCGTTGGAAATTGACTCCCCTGGAGTCAATTGAATGGTTTGGAATCCTTTCAGAAAAGACAGATTATGAAAAGACCCACATTCAGACATGTGGGCTTATTTCCTTGACACGTGGAAAGTGGGCTGCCTGCAGTCTGCCAGGTTTATTTGGGTTCCAGTATTCTCTGCTTGTATACCACTTCTCTTCCCTGGCCTCGCAATACTGAGATCACCACTGCAAACCCACCAGCATCTTCCTCATCCACCTGGAAGATGCTTCCTTTTTATTCCTTTCAGCCACTGATTCTGACAGCCAAACCCAAGTTACCAGCTTTGTTGTTGTCATCTATTGTTCTTCTTGTGTTCCAGCTTTCCTCATTAAATATGGTCATATAACCTTTCCTGCCAGTCTGCAAACTGCTGGGAGCACTGACCTCCCCCACCAAGCTCCATGACCTGAAAACAAAAGTGGATCCTCCTTTTCATAATTCATAGGACATCTGTTTAGCTTTTAAAAGAAGAAAATAAATGTAGGATTCATGCTAGTCAGTCTCCACACCTTTAAAAACAAATTATTATGGAAGACCCTTACCATAAACAACTTAAATGCAGCCCATCAGGAGAGACCTTGTGGACACAGAGGTCCTGAAAATAATTGGAAAGAGCAAACTGGATCCTTCCCGGCGCAGCACCTCTCTGGGCATCCTGAGGGACATCAGTAGGTGAGCTCCCATCAGCCCAGTGACCTGCGTGGTGGCCAGGACCATAATATTCCTGTCTGTTTGCCCAGGTGGTAAAAACAATGCTGTAGTGACCGTTGACTCTTTGTGATCCCCTCCCCGAGTTCTTCCTCAAGCTGTCACCTCCTCCAGAGCCCCTTCATGCCCCAGGCCTCCCCAGGGGGGGAAAACCAGCACATTCCCTTGTGCCAGTGACACCAAATTTATATTTTTCAGCAAATTACAGTTCAAATTACAAGGGTTTTTTTTCTGTGTAGGAAAATTAACAGGTTCATCTACTAATTCCCACATAGAATGAACGTGGTCAATTCCATGGCCATCTTCTGGTTAAAACAAAGGGGATGTAACTCCTTACGAAGCTCTGAGCTGTCAGAAAAATGGTATCCATGGGAGTCTCCAAGAAAAATGTTAGCACAGAGCCATTGCCTGCTTAGAGGAGTGAGTGATGAAATCCATACCATCCTGGGGATCAGCTTCCCCAGCCTGGGGAAGAAGGGCTCACATCTACAAACTTCAGCTCTCAGATTTCTGCCTCAAACCAGAAAAACAGTGAAGCTGATCAAACTGCTGTTTCCTTTTGCACATGACTGAAATAAAACTCTTACCCTGAACTGACTAGTTTAAAGGAAGGCTGCTGCTTCATTCATTGGAATTCCTGCAGAAGTTGCCCTTTTCTGAATTTCCAGCGGTAGCACTGCCCTGAGTGGCTGGTGGAGAAGCATCCATAGAGCTTTCAAGCCTATTGCTGTTGGCTTAGTGAGGGCTTTCTTCATCATGAACCTGAATAGATTTATTGTCTCGGTCGTCGTGTGTGAACAAAAGTGATAGTGCTCACCAGGCACTTAGTTTTCTCAATTCTACTCAGTTCTAATTGTAACTAATGAAAAGAATACTACATTTTTAGGTCATGGTTCCAGGAAGCATTTTAAATAGAAGTAGCCTCCAGCGCTGTTCAAAATACAATCTAAATAATGCAAGATTGTTAGCAGAAAATACAGCACTATTAAATAACACCAAGTAATGGACAACTATTCAAAGCCATTATTCTTGATTACCCTGGATCATTATTACTGAGCGCATGTGACCTTATTTGCACTCGGTAATCCCTGTAGTCACTCAGGAAAATTAACTAATCATTACTGATTAATTACTGTTGATTATACTGGTTGGTTATATCCATATTTTGTAGATTTTCAGTGTTGTATTGGGAAACATTGAAGCTTTGCATTTATGTTTTGTTTTCTTCCTACAAAAAAGGCAACCCTTTTCAAAAGCAAGTAGTTTGGGGAGAAAGTTGACTTATGTTCCCTAAGTCATGTAAGCATTTCTGAAAACTCCACCCAAAATGATGCCTTTTTTCAGTCCAGAGAACTTTTGTTGCAGGTAAAATAATATGTTTTGTGCAGTTTGAGAGGATGAGATTTTTTATAGCCTTTCAAATGAAACATGTACAAAGTGAGCCCTTCCACTCTGAGGGGAGGGACAGAGGAAATGTCCCCCCATGTATTACATAAATGCACAGGTGGCATTTTGAAGAGGCGGCAGTAGGAAGGGAGCAGTCTGTGGTTCTGCTAACGGTGCTGAAAATAGGAGGTTTCTGAAGATCACCTGTTGATTTGCCTCACAAATACCTCTTTGGTATTGCATTTGCACAATGTTTTGTCAGCGCTCGTTTAGCATGAAGCTTAGAGCTGAGATGAGGTGTCCCTATAGACCTTTTTATTTTCTTCCTATCTACAGGTTCACTTGACAGAGTGGCATGTAGAAATGTTGCATAAGAAAAGATTTGTTATGGAGCATGTTGGATTTTATTTTTGGTTTTAAATTAAAAGCACTGTCGCTAGTCTAATCGAAGGGAGTATGCAGCCCGTGTCATTAGTGTCAGGGTTTGACTGGTGGATCACTTTCCAGGGGCGCAGGGAAGTTTTTGTCTGCCATGCCACCCTCTTGCCTCTGCTAAACCAGTTTGCAGCAGGGCTGCAATGGAAGAGGCAGTGGCTGGACGGCAGTATCTCCTGCCAGAGCTCTCCACAACGGCCTTTGATGGGAGTAACCACCCAGCACATGGGTTTTACTTCAGGCTTTTCGATTGTGGCACAGTCAATTAAAATGACAAAATGATACATGATGGGAGGAAGGCCCTCGTTATATTGTTGCTTGTACTTTGTAGCATGCCATCACACCTAAAGAAGGGCAGAAGCTGACAGTATGGGTCGCAATGATCCTGTGCAAAGTGCAAATGCTTCAGAGCTACACCACGACAAACACCAGCTTGGGAGTTCTTTTACTGTGTGAAAGATGCAAGTGTGAAGGAATTAAATTTAATGCTGTTTTCATGATTGTGAGGCACGGGAGCTGGGCTGCTTGTGTCCTGATGTTAAGAAATACTTGGTGTAGCTCACAATCAGCTCGCCTGGTTATAGTCCATCAGGGTTCTTTGGTGATAGAGCAAGCAATGGTTTGAAGTGTTAAGGGATTACGTTTTGCAAGATTTCGAGGCCCAAATGTCGCCCTGTAGCCACCAGTCTGGCTTCTGGTGCATCTGTGCTGGGTGCCCAGGCGCTGGCAGCGGGGCTGCAGGGCCCTGCTGTGGGGGCAGCTGAGGGGCTGCCCCACACCAGACATGGCTGGTTCCAGTCCCCCTACCACCGGCACAGCTGAGCCCCTTAGCCAAACTGATGGCACCTTGGGAAAGCGTGATTGAGAAAGGGCAAAATGCTGCCGGGCAGCGAGGGGTGAGGGGAATGTGTGAGAGCCCCATGACACAAAGGACTGGGCAGGAGGAGGAGGCTCCAGGCCCGAGCAGAGACTCCCCTGCAGCCATGTAGGGACCCTGGGGAGGTGGTTTCGTGTGTAGCCTTGGAAAGCCCACACTGGAGCAGGGAAATGTGTGAGGAGGAAGGAGCGGCAGAGAGGAGCTGTTACGGATGGACCACAACCCCTATCCTCACCTCTTGTGCCGCTTGGGGAGGGGGAGGTAGGGGAGTAAGAGAAGGAGGTGAGGGGGATGCGTTTTAGCTTTTTCACCTTTCTCCCCATCCAAATCTATTTTAATTGTAATTAATTAAAATATTTTTTTTCCAAGTCTAGTCTGTTTTGCCCATGATGGTAACTGGTAAGTGATCTCTTTGTGTTTATCTCGACCCATGAGTTTTTTCATCTTATTTTCTCCTTCTCATCCTGTTGAAGGGGGGAGTGCAGAGCAGCTGGGTGGGCAGCTGGCAGCCGGTCTGGGTTGACCCACCACAGTATCACATGCTATAAGATTTTATATAGCAGGTCCTTCCAGGGGAGGTATTCTTCCTGCATGATCTTTAACATCCAGCACATAACCCTTCTTCTCAAATGTACAGCACTGTGTCCTGGAGTGAAATCTCCTGAAGGTGAGGAAAAAGAGGGAGAGGAGGAGTGTGTGAGACACATAGTGAAAATGGGACAGTGTATCCCAACCAGCATTTGGGATGCCAACAGGGTTCTGTGTTTGTAGGCTTGGAAACTTGAAAGAGCTGCTGTGCTGGGTTAGATCACTTGTCATCAAAACTTCTGCAGGGTTCTTCATAGTAAATCAGAAATGAGCCTTTACATTTTGTAGCAATTCCTCTGTGTTGGAAATGCACAGCATGACAGTCACTGTTTGAATGTGTCACTGCAGTGTTTGTGAAGATGAGAGATTAACAAAGAAACTTACTGTGCTGAAACAAACACGGTAAAAAGGAGGTAGGATGAATGAAAACATCTTTCTGTCCCTGCAGAAACTCAACGTATTGCATGAAGGTGTCCATGTCCTTGACGGTAGCTGAGAATGAATCTGGGCTTTGCTACAACAGCAAGATCAGATATCTGGAAAAATCAGAAGTCACTAAGAGAAAGACAATCTCCTGTCCTGATATTGAGGATTACAAAACAGCCGTTCAAGAGCCAGATGTGGTGTGGTACAAGGTAACTATTTCTGTCTTACTGCTTTTGTGCTGAAACGATATAAAACTTCCACTGTTTTCAGTCTGAGGCTTAGAGATGACCTTTTCCGGGCCTTCAGTGGTTTGTGACTGCTCTGGAGGATGCTCTCCCAGCATTACAGAAGTAATACTGAAGTGCAGGCAAAACTACCCAACATAGCCATTGTCCAACAGAAATCAGCATCAAGAGGATCTTCTGTGCAAGAGAACATCACTTCTCTAACAGGAGTACCACGTTCTGAAACCACTGTGCCTCTTACCGCTTTCCACCTTGGTGGGATATCTCCCTACCTGATGCTGTACTAGAAACTGAGGGAGGCAACCTACAATGGAGCCAAATGTGTATCGGCGCTGCCAGCTTCCATAGTGCTACCCAATTTTATTTTTATGAAGCCTGTTGGGTAAATCTACCAAGGCTTGTTAATTTTTACCAAAGTCTGATGGGTAATTTCACAGAGATGCATTTATTTTTGCTGAGGATCATTGAGTAATTTTACTGAGGTCTGTTAATTTTGACCGAGGTCTGTTAGATACTTCTACTCCTCAGCAGGTAACTTGGCTGGCTCTGCCTTCTCCGAGGCTGTCATGTATCACACACCACTTTCAGCAGCAGGTGTATCGGTGATGTGTTTCTGTAGCTCCCGAAGAAATCAGGAGAACGACTAAAATATGGGTTGTCAGGCAGACATCAGGTACCAAGACCATAGCAAGGTCTGGCAGATTTTACCTGTTGTCTGGACTTGGACCAAAGTCTGATATTTGAAAAGCCTTTGGGTATGAGTTGCTGCAAGAAACAATGGAGAAGAATAAAGAGCTGAGAGTCAGAGGGAACAAGAAATAGTTGGGCAAGAGGAAGACCTCAGTGGGGTCTGTGGAAAATAGAGTTTGGGTTGTGGAGATAAAGGCAGAATGAGTTTAGGACAAACTTGGTTCAGGTAATGAAGATAGAAACATATAAACTAGTTAAATTCTAATTTCTGAGTCCTTGATTTGCTAAGCTTAATGACGTTCTTTAAGGAATGTTATTTTGTGTGAAATAAGTAATATATGCAGAGCTTCAGATTTTTTTCCTCCTTAGCAGGCTGCATCAGAATAGAGGGATTATAGAAGTTGTCATCGATTTCTATTTTTTACAGAAATGTCACATATAGTAACAAACGTGTGGCATAACGCAGCGTTAGTCTAAACAAAGCTTTGTCTTTCAGCCATTGCAGCTGTTTCTCTCAGCATATGGGTGGGTTTCAGTGCTGTTCCTGAATAAAATCTGTGTATTCAGTTAAGTCTGAAATCTTGAAGGATCGAGGGTACCAGAGAGAAGGTGTTTCTTGCCCTATCTACCTTGGTATTGCTGAACTCCAGATCACTGAAGATCTCAGTTTTTTGCAAGAGCACACTTCAAAAATAGTTTGGCAGGAGTAATCTTCAGCTGTCCTAGAGCAGAAATTGGTCTAAGGAAGACGCATGTCACATCAGTGAAGCTTTGTGCTGACCGGACAAGGAACTGGACGGGTCTTTATTCCATAAACCCACACGTGTGATCTGTGTTGCACACACAGGTTGTGTGACACCAGGCTGGAGTGTGACAACCAACTGGCAAGCCGGTTTCAGGTGAAACTGGGCAGAATTGATGGGGTTGGATGATAACTGGACATCAGGAAGAAATTCTCCACAGGGGGGGTGGTGAGTCACTCAAAGACATTGCCCAGAGAGGTTGTGGATGCTCCATCCCTGGAAGTGTTCAAGGCCAGGCTGGATCTGGCTTTGAGCAACCTGGTCTAGTGCAAGGTGTCCCTGCCCATGGCAGGGAGGTGGAAGTAGATGGTCTTTTAAGGTCCCTTCCAACCCAAACCATTCTGTGATTCTGTGATAAAGGTGATAGAATCGAAGTCGACAACCTTTAGTCTGACTTGGTACTGAAAAGAGATGTTAGTGGAATAACCTACTACGTATACCTCCTTAGCCATAATTAACAATAAGGTGCTGCTATCAGTTCAGTTCCTAGACAACACCTATGTTAACCACAACTGGATCTTAAAATCATGCTGTGTGAGGCAACCTTTGTAACAAAAATCAGGTCCCTTCTCCCAAAGAATAGTGTAAAGTGATATTCCACTTTAGGATCTGACCCTCACTTCCTGAAGAAGGCACATTTCCAGCTTTAGCACACTGGATCCTCAAGTGTTTCCCCTCTACCTTTGTGATTGAGTTTGGTATGTACATGAAGGTGTAATCAGCCATCATCCCGTGTAAATCTGCTCCAGAGGCACTGGGGGACAATTCCTTTTCATTATGCTGAAATATGTGGAGAAGATTTTCATCCGGGGGGGAGCATAATTTGTCCAAAATGTAACAGTAGATAGATAAATATGAGGAAGTCCTCAAGGTTCCTTCTGTATACCTTTGCCTGAAAGAGAAATCCTTGTGTTCATGAGAACCTGCCAGTTTGTTGGTACTTGGGGAGTTTGGACTTGTGACCAGTAAAGTATCATCAGAGAGGACACTAACCATGCAAGCTCACTGTGCGCGGACTCACGTGCCTTCCAAAAGGCTTCTCTGTGTGGAGGGATTAATGAATCTGAGCCAGTAATTGCATCCATTTACAGGGAGTTAACTGTAATTTAAACGTGCTCTTAAAATAATTATGCCTCAATAGATTTCCACATGCACACCCGATCAGTAAAGCATTTGCTATGAGGATTTGTTTTAACAGTAGTGTGAGCTTCACTTCTGACTAGAATTACACTGCATGAAATATTTATTTTTAAAGATTTCCACAATTAATGCCATTGATACACACAGAGCTCTGTTACACCTGTTAGAAGTATTTTGACAAGAAGTATAAGGATTTTTTTTGAAGTAAATGCATGTGTCAAGGCACGATTGAATGAATGGGATTTAACACTAAGAGCAGTTTTGTGAAAAATCAACTGGCAGAGGAAAAAGGTTTATTGCATCTAGAATGCAGGGTCTTAATCCATTTCCACCATCCCTTTTCTACTTCTGGGTTGAAGGAAGGGCTGTGAAAAAAATAAAAATGCCAGATGAAGGACAGGTAGTTGTTATCTACCCTATAAAAATAGAGTTGTTGAGGTGCTGCCACTTAGATTTCAAGGAAGAGAAAAAGAAGCATCATAGCACACAATTATTGGGGAGAAAACACCCAAAACATTTAAGACATCTAAGGAGAATAAATAGGCTGGAAAAAGAAACTTTCAGATTCTTCTAGCAGGTAAACATGGTGCAAAACCAGGAAAGAGCAATTAATTAGTTAAACAAGCAGCATTCGTACCATTGAACACTGACCTCTTTACAGAAATTAGGAGACCTCTGAAAGGCTACTTAGATTTTTTTTCTTGTTTTATTGGTCTGTTTCTCAGCCATTTTTGTTGCTTAAAATCCAAATTGTTATGAATTTCCAGCTTCTCCCCTTATTTGCTTTTGTTACTGTGTATTGAACTCGTCTGTGAAAAACAGGCAGAATAAGCCAGGCATTTTCAACGTACATTTAGAAAGCTAGTGTAGTCAGTAGAAGAAAAAGTAATGAGCTGAAATTTGGGAAGGAAAGGATATAAACCATTTTTAATATGAAGTGTTTTAAGTAGATACAAAAAGAATTAATTAGGAAATTAGTGGTACATTTCCATCAGAACAACTCCTCCCTGTAAACCCGCAATAGCATAATCATGGTTTGTGCTGTATCATTAATCTCTGTAGTGGTAGTGTCACCTTTCTTATTACAAACATGTCATGTATAAAAATATAATGTGTATGGAAATGTATCTTTGATTTCTTTGCTGCCATACATTTTAAAATAATAAAATAGTGACTGTACAGCTGCTATCATATGATCGGGTCTTTCGGTGCTGCACTGGAAGGGTGCATAGCTCTGATATGCTTACTTCGTGTATTCTGGGAATTGTATTTCTTCTAAATTGGGATTGAATAGAACTGAATCGTGTTCTTTGCCCCGTGTTCAGATTTAGTTACTCCACAGAGGTGGTTGATGTACCTTTATATAGGACTAAAAAATTGAGTGCAGATCAGAAGGAATTTAATGGCATTTTCCAGCTCAGATCTGTGTCCTGCAAGAGTCTCGAGCGTTATCAGTGCAATTTAGTAGCAAATATAAGCTCTGATTCTCCTTAGCAAAGCAGATAGGATCTGGATTCTGATCATTCTCTGTCATCAGCGTTAACTGAAGTTCACAGGCATGACAAGATGACACTTTCCTTACAACTGTACTTTGGAAACAGAAAGATAACCTGAACACGCTGTGACCTGCAGTAGTATTGCACAGTCAGAATTTGAAATCTGACCACATCTTAACTGAATTTGGCCTTCTAGGGATAGGGATAAGTGCTTCGGTGCTCCATCTTCGAGTGCAAGGCCAGAAGCTCACAGTGCCATTATTTTATTTCTTTATTATTATCCTTTAATTTAGAATGTGGCATTGTGGATTTGGAACGTGTGTGGAGTCTCATGAAAAAATCATGTTTGTGTCGTTCTGATCTCTTGCTGTCATACTGTATGCTTTCACATCAACGTGCTTTCTTGTTTGGTTGTTTTCTTAAAAAGAAAGCTTTGTTCTATTTTGTTTGCTGGATTTCTGACACTGCTGTTGCAGACGAGCAGAAGATGGGGCACAGGTCGGGGCTATTTACACGAATCTCTGAAGTTGCTGAGCCTGATGTAACTAGTGTGAGATTATTAGCTGCAGGCTGAGAGCTTATTCCATGTTGCCACCTTGAGAGAGGGAACAGGGGGACACTGACGATACTCGGGTCCCGAGTTGCTTTGGGTGCTCAGGGTACAGAATTAGCCAGAGCCTGCAGCACTGTTGGGAGTACTGAGTGGTTTAGAGAACTGAGGAGGGCGTGATTTTGTTTGCAGGCAGAACAGGCTTGATGTTAAAGTTACTGAGAGACAATAAATATATAACTTTGAGGTACCATTTTAAAGAGACAGTTACCAGGTTGTGCCTGTGCTTTTAGTTCAGAGCATTCCAAGAGGTATTCAATCATGAGTACCGTTACCATGGAAGGTGGCTGATACGGCTACAACGATACAGCGTGTTAGGAAGGGGACGGCCTCTTGCACTGTATCACACACTGTACTGATGGACTCAAGTGCTGTTCCAGTGGGACCACAGTTCATAGTGATGAACTTAAATCGGCCAAATAACAGCTAAGGTCTGCCTGGGGAAGTCAGAGTTTTAGGCCATCAGTATCACGTACTCCAGCAGAGGACACAAGTGGGGGTGATGCTACAAAGAGCCCCGTGAAAAGGCTGAACCAGAGCTCACACCTCATCAGGTGCCAGAGAAGCCCGTGATGAGAAACATGGCCATAAGGAAACCAGGCTTCCTGAATTCTCCCACTCACAAAACTGCTGTTGTTCTGCCTGTTTTCTTCTGTTGGTAAATGGTTCTAGCCTGAGACTGTATAAAGTTTGCCTTCGGGCTGACTCTTAACAGATGTTGCCCTTACTCCCTTCAAACAGAGATGCATTTTAATGGTCCATCCTAAAGCAGAGGTCTTCACAGTTGTGCATCATGAAAAAGAGAAGATACTTAACCGTTGCTTCAGGGCAGCATACATTAAACACAGCCCATGTGATACAGTAGGAATTACTGAACCTTTAAAACATTTCGGTTTAATTGCTGTCTTCAAATTAATTCCAGTTTCAGATCTCTATGCTTTCTGAAATTATATTTGAATTTGAATTGCAAAATATATTGAGATGGTTGTTTACTTATGTATAACACTGAAAATCTGATCAGGCAACGCTGTCTTATGTCATACAAGCTGGGTAATTTTGGCAATGGATTTTTTTCTGCAGGAATGTAAGCCAAAAATGTGGAGAAGCATTGTAATTCAGAAGGGAAATACTCTCTTAATACAAGAGGTCCAGGAAGAAGATGGAGGAAATTATACTTGTGAACTAAAGTTTGAAGGCAAGCTTATACGAAGAACAGTTGAATTGAAGGTTACTGGTAAGAATCTTGTTCTATGTCAATAGAAAAAATACAGCTTTGAAATCATAGGAAAAAGTTGTTGTTACATATCAGTGAATCTATTTGATTGAAGTAAGTCCAAACCAAATCCCAATAGCTGTTCAGTCTCAAACTAGAGGGAATTTATATCAAGACCTTATAAAATTCCACAAAAGACTATTTCTACCTTTTGCTCTGTAAAAACCTGGAAATGCTGGTTATGAAGTAAAAGGCAGGGCAGACCTAAGTCTTCGCAATACACTGGAAGTAATTCAGACTCCAGTTTTGTCTTCAGTGCTACACAGAGGGAAGGTTGACTGAAGCTGTAAAACAGGCTTTTGGTGAGGTTTGTCCTAGAATAAAACACAACCAAAAGAGACATCTTGAGTCATTATTTTTTTCTTTTTAGTGATTGTTCCATATTTTTAAGCTTTGGTTTGATTTATGATGATCAACTTCTCTAGGGTTTCTCTTTAGTGAAGGGTGCGGCACAACCTATTCCGAGAATGACGTTAGGAACATTGGGCTGTCAGGGGGACAGTAACCTGCTTATCAGGTGGTCAAACATCGTGTGTTTCTGACTCCATGTAGTAATCTACTAGACAGCAGTATTTTTCTACCTCTTTTTGACAGGTACCATAAATGAACGGGCAAAAAAGTATTGCATACCAATATATTCAGGATCTCTTTCC